AGGAAGAGAGAGGGACAGAGAGAGAAGCACCAGGGATGAGAATCATTGCTCGCCTGACTCCTGCACTCCCCCTACTAGGGATGGAGCCTGCAACCCAGGCCTGTGCCCTCATCTGGAATTGCACTGTAACCTCCTGATTCATAGGTCAACACCCAACGACTGTGCCTCGCTCATCGGGGTCACCCCAATTTTTAAGTGTTATTTTTTTAAAATATATTTTATTGATTTTTTACAGAGAGGAAGGGAGAGGGATAGAGAGTTAGAAACATCCAAGAGAGAGAAACATCGATCAGCTGCCTCCTGCACACCCCCCACTGGGGATATGCGTGGAATCGAACCTGGGACCCTTCAGTCCGCAGGCTGACGCTCTATCCACTGAGCCACACCGGTTAGAGCAAAAGTGTTTTTTTTTTTAAGCGAAGGCTGCACAGATACACTTTGAATGAGCTCAGGTTGTGACTTAGTGGAGTTTTAGGCGGTTAGTGTCCTTTGTAGCCTTGTCGGGACACAGCCTTTGGCATGTTTTCGTGTGTTGAGAGCATGCGTGTTTGTGTGTGGTCAGCACTGAGCTGGAGTTGGGGCCACGAAGGTGCGTTTGCTCCCCTGCTGAGCTCCATGCTCCTCGGGGTCTTCAGTCTGTTGTGGCTCCAGGGTCTGTGCCGCATCCTTGCTGGGCGATGAGAAGGTCCTGTGTGATGTGGGGCCATGAGAGCCCGCGTCCCCTCCAGGTCCTTCCTGCCCCAGGAATGGGGGTGGGGGAGGAAGCAGGTGGGGTGCAGCCCTAGCAGCAGTGCAGTGTGAGGAGGCTCCCGGGCTGAGGATGTGGCCCTGGAGGGACAGGTGAGGGAGCGCCTGGACCCTCACCCGTTCCTTTACCTACAGTCACGCCCCTCCTGGGGCAGGAAGGGACTGGGAACCCCCGTTCTTCTCGGGTTTGTGCTCCCCTTTCTGTTCTGCGTTCCCGCTGATTCGGACCAACAGAGGAAATCTGCCCTTTTCTGTGTCTTCCTTAGGTTTTCATCTCGTTTGGACTTCAAGCCATTTATCTCTCCTGTCTCATTCTTTCTTCCGTGCCATCGTGAAATCGCACAACGAACTCTCCACCAGAAGGACCTGGCCCGGGGCTGGCAGTGCTGGGCCCACCCGCCCAGAGCCTCTCCACCCGCAGACATGCTGGTCAAGGACCGAGCCTGCCGCCCCCCAGCAGAGCCCCCACTCTGAGGGCTGGCACAGACCACACATCACTCTGCCGTCTCTGTGAGTCTCTGAAATCCTTGAATAGACAGTCCGGTTAGAATTAGTAAAGTGGTTCCATCGTCTTAAAGTTTTGCATTAGCACCTCCAAGGAAACCTTTGTTCTTAAGCTCTCGGGGCTCCCCTAACAAACCGAGCTGAGCCAGCAGAGGGGCCACAACGGCTTCAGGAACCCTCAGGTGCTCACAGCAAGAGCACCCTGGGAAAAAGGGAGGGCACCCAGCTGCCCAGCCTCAGCCCCTCAGACCTAGGGCTCGAGGGGAGGGCCGTCTCGGGGCCGGGGGCAGAGAGGGGAAGCGGAGCTCCTGGAATCTGAGCTCTGACTCCACTTTGCTCTTCAGCCTCCATCCGAATCCTGGCGTTGGAGGAAGAAAACCAGACGCTCCAGGGCACAGTCCAGGAGCTGGGGGCGCCTCCCTGGCCCTGCAGGAGAGCAGCGTCAAGTGCACGGAGCTGCAGGAGGAGAACTAGCAGCTCTGGAAGGAGGTAACGCTGGGTGGTGTCCGGGACACATGGGCGAGCCGGGGGCTTGGTGACCCATGGGGTGACGGGTGTGGGGTTTGCTTTAAAGCCAAGTTCACTTTGTGACCTGACTGTGGGCGGGGTCGTTGGCTCCGCAGGCGGAAGAGTTGGGGATGCAACTACAGAAGGAAAAGGCCAGCAGCCAGCACTTGGAGACCCTCAATGAAGAGCTGGAGGGAGGCCTCGAGCAAGTGTTCAACATCATACACACCCTGAGGGCACACAGGGCCAGGGCATCCTTCTGTTTCCTGGAATGGGGCTCGATTTCTGCAAGGAGGGGCGTTTGGCTTTTGTTGGCTTTTCAAAGACACTGCCCTTTGCCAGACAATTCTCCATCTGCTTTTAGAATTAAGTTCAATTTAAAAACATGACAGGGGCACCAAGGGAAGGAATTCAGCTCCCAGGCTGAGCCCTTCCTGTGTCTGACTTCCCTTGATGGGCTGGAGGAGGGCTGTGGGTGTGCCGTGGTTGTCCTCCCTCTGCCAACAGGACACACACCTGGCTGTGGTGTAGGCCCCGTGAGGCCCGCAGAACCAGTGACCCGATGGCCAGGATCCAGGAGACGTGATGGGCTGTGAGCAGAGCTGTGTGCACACCAGGTAGATGTGAGGAGCTCCGTGGAGGCGGAGAAGGCAGCAGGTGGTGGGAGTTGGAATTCTGCTGCTGACCTGGATGGGACAAGGCTGTCCAGTGGAGCAGGAGGCGGGGGAGGTGAAGTTGGAGCGTGGTGTGGTCTGTGTGCAGGGAAGTACAGGCAGTGCAGAACGGAAGGCTGGGGCAGGCGGCGCTCAGCTGTGGAAGGCATCCATGTCTCACTAATGATTGGGATTCACTGGGAGTGAGTGTTTAAGAGATGCTGGCCAGCAAGTCTGAGGGAGCTGCCAGAGATGAGGCAGGAGGAAGAGGCTGGGTGCTGGACACCTTGTGGTTTGGACGTCAGGTAATCCGAATGCATCTGGTGGGTCCAGGGTGGTCTTCACCCTTTGGTGCTGTGCTGCTAGACTGTCCTTGCTTGTGATCGGGAATGGCTGGACATGAGGGACAGAGACCTGGTCACAGTGACCACAGGGGCACTGGCCCAGCCCCCAAGGTCACGGTGCTGTTTCACTGTTCTCCAACGTTGTGTACAAAGGGCACACCACCTACCAAGGATGGTTTACATGGAAAACCACACTATAGTTTTAGAGTAGAAATGACTGTGGCCTGAAATGGGCTCTCTAGAAGAGCAGGGCCTGGTACCAGGAGGATGATCTGATGATGGTTCTGCATTAGACAGTGTCTGCAGGAGGCCAGGGAGTTGGCAGGCTTCCTGGGTCTGCTCCGAGCGGAATCTTCCGCAGCCCGGGGAAGGTTGTGGGGCCTGCGCTCCATGAGTTTGTGTGCCTAGGGGTGGGGGGTCGGTCAGAGCCAGACAGGAAAGTGCTCTAGCATAAGGCCCAGCAGCAGGGCTGTGGGAAGAGGAGAACACAGACTAGAAGAACATACGCCGAACCACAGATACTGGGAGCAGAGTAAGGTCAGCAGTCAGGGGCCCAGCGGTTTGTGAGCCATCACTGTTCACGGGCTGCTCACTTCATGGTGACTCTCAGAAGAGCCCTCGAATTAGGTGGGACCTCATCAGCTTCAAGGCCGAAGGAGCCTGAGCAGCTGCCTCAACCCAGCAGAATCATTTTCAAGCAAGAGAACCAGGGTCTGACCTGTCAAGGCCCAGGCATTTCTGAGCTGAGGTTCAGATGGTTCAAGGTTTGCTCTCCTGAGATGATGTACAGCCTGTTCCTAGATGCTTCAGCAGGTCTTGTCGACATGTAGGGTTCCCAGACCCACGACACGTGCTTCCATCTCCCTATTACCAACTCCATGATCATGATGGTCATGAGCACTGTGATGTCTGAGTCCCAGAAAAATGCCGGCTTTTCTCCACCAGTTCCCAGCCTGGGCCAGTGAGTCAATTTTGAGTCAAGTCTGTTTTTTCTTTCACCTCCGTTTATAGAGACAAGTCCAGTGCCTTACATACAATAAAGGAAGAAGAGTACAGAATTACGGATCCACAGAAGTGCCAGGATCCTGTTCCCAAGAAGTGAGTTGATTCAAGCAGCAGTAACTTAAACACAGAACAGGAAGCTTGCATGTTCACAAGTGGGGAAAGCTGTAGCATCTAGAGCAGTGAGCAGTTTGTTGGGCCTGCATCTTCTACTCCATGGCAGGTCCCTCCCAGCACTGAGCCAATTCAGAGTTTCTTTCCGTCCTGCCCTCAGGGTTCTCCTGTGAGGGATGGCAAAGCCAGCTGGCCATAAGCCTGTTTAAGGGAACAGAGTCTGTGGTTTAGAGCCACTAAAGCAGGAGTATCAGGGTTTGTCTCAAGGTTTCAGGACCTAGAAAACCATGTATTTGTTTGGGAGGGAAGCTTGAGTCAGACACCTGGACCAGCACGCATAGTCTTCAACCACAGGAACTCAGTCTTCCCTATATTCTTCTGGAGTCACTGGACCCCAGGGTGATTCACAAACACATTCCCTTCTCCAGAGATCAGCAGCCCTGGTGTTGGGCTGGCTCGGTCCCCGATACTTCCGGCCTCTGTCCTGCAGGGCTTTCCCTAGGCTGGGGCCTGAGCCCCAGGTGCTGGGCCTTCACACAGTCCTGTGCCAGCCCAGCCTTGAGGTCAAATCACCATGAGTCCTGCAAGGCCTCTCTGCTGAAATCACAGAATTTCCGCTCTCCCACTTGTCCCTCCTGTTGACAGGGACATTGAAGCATCGAAGAGGAAAGGAAGCGAGTTGAGTAAGCACAGTGCTGCTCCGCGGCAGAGCCAGGATTAGAACCCAGATGAGGTCCTTCTTGTGACATTGGAAAGCCTCCATTTCCCGTTAGCTGCAATGCAACCTTTACATTCACTGTTTTCATTTATTTCTACTTTCTTTATACTTCAAACGAGGATACTTTTTGAGAAATATAGAATTCTCCTCACGTGCTAAGTAAAGCACTGGCACAAGGTGCCACTACATTCATTAAATGGCGTCAGAGCATAAATGACTCACTGAGTCCTGATTCTGGTTTTGCCGTGTGTAACGTTTCCATCACTCCTGAGCTGGAGAGGATTCTGATTTCCCAAGTACATTTAGGAAATGTGGTTTCATTTGTTATTGTGTGGAGGGTTTTTTCCTTTCTCTCTTGGGTTATCCGGGGATAACAATTTAGCAACTGGGTGCAAAGGGAGTCACTTTTGGAGAAGCAAAAGCAAGGACA